TATCCTCCTGACTGACAGTGTTGGTACTATACCAAGAAATTTTTATAAACATTAATTTCACAATTACTGTCCATCTGTCTACCACAAATATACATTACTATAATTTAAATCTTAAAAATGTTTTATAGCTATATTTTTATTTCTATTTATTTATTTATTCATTATTTTAAATATGTTTTTATTTTATATCTTACAAATATTTTATATCATTTTTTTTATTTTATTTATTCATTTGTCTATTTATTTATTATTTCAATACATTTTTATCTTATCAATATTTTATACCTATATTTTTATTTTATTTATTAATTATTTTAATTATTTTTTATTTTAGATCTTATCAATATTTTATACCAACATTTTAATTTATTTATTTATTTATTATTTTTATTTATATCCTACCAATATTTTATAACTATATTTTAATTTTATTTATTTATTTGTTATTTCAATTATTTTTTATTTAACATCGTACAAATATTTTATGCCAACATTTTAATTTTATTTATTTATTTGTTATTTTAATTATTTTTTTATTTTACATGTTACAAATATTTTATACCTATATTTTAATTTTATTTATTTGTTTATTCATCTATTATCTATATATTTTATTTATTATATATTTTGGACAATTTGGTGTCTTGGATCTTTATTTTTTATCTGCATGATTTTCTTTTGATACATATCTAATGAGCATATGTCAGTTAAAAACTTAATCCCATTTACTTTGTGCAAGATGCTCTGAGCCATCACACTCTTCACTCGTGGGCCAATAAGCAGCAGCTTGGACCTAAAGGGGTTAATCACTTAGCTGAAGGGCATTTTGACGAGAACTTGTTGATACATTGATTAAAAAAATAAAAAGGAATGCAGGAGGCATGACGTTGCTCTTACAACATACTTGGTTGAGGCCAAATAGTTGTGTAATGCAATCCTTAGAGGAAAAAGAGGGCAGAGTGTGTGTGTGTGTGCTGAGGAGGTGAGACGGCTACACAGACTTCCTCTAGCTCCTATTTGATGAATAAGAGGTCTGGCTGTAAAGCAGCTGTATTGAGCTGACCTGACAGCCACCTGACAAATAGGTGTTTCATGGTTAGGTTAATAGGCTGGTGTGTACAATGAGTGGACATGACATTTGTCTCTGAGGCGAGTCTCTCTGTGTGTTCCTGTGTGTGTGTGCGTGCGTGTGTTTGTTTGTAGCTTCAAATTGTCTTTTGTCATTATGAACGGATGGACAACTGCACGGAAACAGAGAGCGGGAACGAAAAACAAACACGAGGATGCGTAAGTACATACAGAGACACACAAAGCAGAGCCGTGAATGTCTTTTAGATAATTAGTCTCCTTAATACTCAGACAAAACTGGAAACACCAGTGTCATAGTGTGTTCAATAAAGCCTTAATGTAACACACACATATTATGCTAGTTTTTTGTAGGCATTTGAAGACATGTGTCATCTCCCATAACCTGTGTTTATGTGACTGTGCAGGTTCACACACACTCACAAAGAACAGCTCTCAATAAACTCTCCTTATGTCCCGTCCACCCATGAGAAGCTTTATATCCTTCGTAGTAAAACTTCTCATTGTTTGTCCCATTTTTTAACTTTCTAACTTTTATATTTCATCAGACATCTGAGCTTTTTAAACACTCTGGGAGGCAATTAGCATTGTAGTGGCGTGCCGCAGAACTAAAGCAATCAGTATCCAGAGTAAACATGGAAAATCTTTAACTCTTCGGCACCACGGAAGCAAAGAGTTTCCACAATAATGGATGTGAGGCATTAACAGTGCTGGATGCCTCGCAGTGAGACAAAGTGTCTGCAACTGTGTGCCTGTGTTTGTGTGTGCATGTTAACATGTCATGAATGTTTGGAGTGCAGCTTCCGGTAGGTAAAACAATTACACAGGACATGATTAAAACCTAAGACGCTCTCATTAAGAGATTATTGTTATAAACTGGAGAAGATGAGTCCTGTGTGTGTGTGTGTGTGTGTGTGAGAGAGAAGGGTAATTCTATATCTTAATTGCAAATCCCTCATTTTGCCCCTTCACATAGGTTAAAGTACATTTCTACTTCATCAGCAACATTAAAACATAAGTGGGAAACCATAAGCGTGTGTGTGTGCATGTGTGTAGCTGCTTCATTTGCAGGAGCCCCAGCTCTATAAAGCCATTACCATACAAACAGCAATTAGCCTCCATGTGAACAATTGCTGTTCTGTTCCCTAATTACTGAATTACAACCAGGAGATTAACGATGGTTAAATAAAAAACAATTAAGAACAAAACAATTAAGGCTTTTTCCCCCTTACCCCCCCTAAAGCAATTGCTTCTCCCCAGTCATGTTAACTCTTTTTAAAGGGTTCAGACAACTTGCAGTGTGTGTGTGTGTGTGTGTGTGTGTGTGTTCAGCGAGTAAGGGTAGGATTTTGAGGCTGAGATGTGATGTTCCCCAGAAGCTAAATTCAGAGGATATTAGTTATGAGATCAGGAGAAGAACAGCGAGCCCCGAGGAGGATGGGAAAGAGATGAGAGAATTGGGATCATTAGAACGATGTTTTTTATCCTGCTTATCAGGCGCTGCTCTAATGGATTCGAGCTATTCCAGTTTATCGCAGGCATGTTGTTGTGAGAAATGTGAAGCATCAATGAATTATTAGTAGTAGTGGCTGGGGCAAACACTCTGTTCTGAATTAGTAGAACATGGAGCCCTCTGGAAAGGAAACAGGAGTTTGAAATGTTGTTTTGAAATAATTCGAACTCCAAGGGTACATTTATATTTGAGGCATTAATAAAGTATGTCAGTACGTTCTGTGTAGTCTTTTCCCGCTGAAGGGCACAGTGATAAGACACGGCGGCTGATTGGTTCAGTTTTGGTTGTTGAAAGAATCAAACCTGAGATCCTGAGACTATGTATTATGTCTCCAACAACCCAACACCAGAATAAATGGTGGTACTGCATGACGTTGAAAACCACGGATCCGTTCAATTTTGTACATTACGAAGCGGATATATGTTGAAACTTTAAGTTTCAGCAATGCTGTGTTGAACTTGTGGTTAAATTGAGGCACAAAATCTGTCTAGTTATGGTGAGGAGAAGGTCACGTTTTGAGGGGGATAGTCTCCACTGGAAATGCAGCAATGTCTTTTCGTAAAAACAGAAGGATGAGTCATTAAAAAGCAGCCACGTTTGGTGGCTTAAAAAAAGCACTGGAAGACGCAGCGATGACTCCCTAATGCCTCTTTCTATGTTTCTACCTTCCACCTGATGTCCATTAATTCCTTTGGGAATCTCTGTGATATGCGATGTGCCTGTGAAACTCCTATTTCAGTCCAGAATTTGCCTTGAACCTGGACCTTGAACGAATGACAAAGGAGAAATCTGGACCGTGGCTGGACCAGTTGGGAACCACTGGTCTAAATGTTTGTGGAAACAGCTGCTAAGATGATTCATTGAGAAGTCCTGAATACTAGAGCATGTGAGCGGAGCGGACCGGGTGAAAATTTCCACTCCTCGCTCGAAGACCTGTCACTTTGTGCCACTCGTCCGCTCCGCTTGGTTCTGGCCATTCTTCGCTCCGCTCCGGGACACTCCATCATAAATTTTATCCCACTCCACTCACTCACCACTCCACTCAAAAAAACTGCATCGTACTACCCTAACCTGTAATCTTCTATTCACAAATAAAACATGAGCTTGGTAGATTCTCCGGGGAAGCCCTCTCCCCTCTCCCCGCAGTTAGGGACAGTTCTACAAGGTACCACTGTTGGCAGGGTGGAAATAAGTCAAAGTGTGGAGGAGACGGACCAGGTTAAGCGGCCGACCTCCGGGGAAGCCCTCTCGCCTCTCCCCGCAGTTAGGGACAGTTCTCCAAGGTATCGCTGCTTCTCTTCTCAGTTTCTTTTCTGAAGTACACAGTAAACTCCATAGTTTTGAAAGAAAATAGTGTGGGAGTGCGCAGGTGCAAAGATGCATTCTGGGTGGGGCATGAGCGACTGGAGCGAAATTGGAGCGAGAGATAATGCTCCGCTCCACCTTTTAAAAAAATAGCCGCTCCTCACTCAACACAAAATCCTTCCGCTCCCTGCTCAGCTCCGCTCCAGCTCTGCACACATGCTCTGCTGAAGACTCACTTTAAGGGGCCATTTTCTCTGGTTCCATTTGATGTTATTAACAAAAATCTTTCCTAATGCAGGTTTAAGGTCTGAACAGAAACTTAAAATCTATTATGGTAATAATTAGAGTGGCATTTTACTACTTGGGGACACACCCAGCCCTCCAGGATCTAATCATAATATATAACAGGTGTTCTTTTGTTTTGTTTTTTGAGTATTTTGCCTTCAATGACAGGAAAGTTTGAAGCTTGAAGGAGATGACATGCAGGTGTGCATGGGGTGTCTGCTCTACCCACTGAGTTACTGGGTGCCCCAAAAATAACAAGTGTAAGGAGCTGTTCTTCAAGCTGCGATACAGTCTCTCCCACTTAACTTGTACACAATGCTTTGGATATGATTGTGTTTACATGTGACATGGTCTCAATACCTATAAAGTCACTGCAATCATTTCAGGATCATTCAAAAACATAACAAACCCAAACAACAATGGTAATTTGTTGCCTTTGTTTTCCCAAAATATAAAATGAGGAATTATTTCTCCAACGTTTCTGCACTGCAGTTCCCAAAACCACCTGTCAATCACACAGTGTGGGTTGGACTGTGCCGCCCTTTATCTTGTATTTCTGTTGGAGGAGTCGGAGTTTCTGTAGGAGGCCAGCTCTCCTTGTTTATTCAAAAGCAGCTGCTGTCGCTGCTGTCAGAAATGTAAAATAAATCATTTTCTGTGAGCCAGAGGGTCTGTGTCAGCGGAGGCTGGTCAGATACTGAGCTGCTGGAATAGCTAAAGCTGTCATAAACTGGCTGGATCAATATTGTGTAGAGTTTTATGTTAAACAATTTGAATACAGATTTAAGAAATGGTGTTTTTTTTCACTCACCATCCTCCTCCGTCTGCTTGACGATCTCCTCGCTCTCTTTGCTGCCCTCGGGGTTGGCCAGGACCAGCCGCAGTCTGACCGTGACAAAGGGCCTCAGCCCCCTCAGGGTGTAATGTGACGAGGTCTGGATCAGCTCCTCTGCTGCAAACTCCTGCTGGTTAAATACATACTGGTACTGCACCTGGAAAACAGACGGAGAGACATGACATTTATTCCTTTGTCATTTGCTTTAAAAACAATGTTTACTAATGCAGAGCTGCCCTCACATGCACTTAACCCTGCAATGCTTTGACAGAACTGCCAAATAGAAACACTGATTTCACTGTGAGGGTCCAAACTGTGAAGTTTACAAATCACACATAAAGGTGAAGCAGTGGTGTTGCTACATGTGCATCTAAAGGTGTTTGTTCACCTTTAGTTATAACAGGGCTGCCTCCTAATAGTCAACTAAACATTAGTCAGCAAGATTTCATCAGTCGCTTAGTCACAGACAAACAAAAGACTACGTAAATGTAACTCTATTAGGAGCTGCGCCTTGTCAAAATAAATCAAAACTTATATTGACTGGACCATGTGTGACTTTAATTTGAAAGGACAGACACAGGAAGTGTCCTCGCTCAGCAGTCAGACAGGAGTCAGGTTAATTTCCAGGGCTGGTACCTGCGGTTATTCCACAGGCTAGTTAATAACATGTCGGGCAGGAAATCCAAAGTGTGGGATCATTTTGAGAAGGTGAAGGACGAACCCAAGGTGATATGTAAACTCATCTTCATTGGTCGACTACAAACATGACGTATCATCTGAAACATGGAAGTAGCTACATGCCCATTAGCCCACAGCATCATTAACAGGCGGCTCGCTCAGTGTGTGACGTGCACTTGTAGATAAAATATAGGCCTATATTAATGAAGGTTCATTAGTACGGTTTTGTATTTCTCTGTAATGTAGCACAGTGTTAACAATGTTACTGATACTATTCTTTCTCACACCTTCAACTCAAACCATTGTGTTGCCCCGCCCAAAATATATGATTTATACTTACATTAATATCGTAAACATGCAGGCGACTTGTCGACTAATGGCCCTAAACGCAACTATGATCGACTAGGAAAGGTCTTAGTCGGGGGCAGCCCTTAGTTACAACACATAACTTGAATTATAAAGATGTTTGATGTTTTGAGTGAGACTTTAAATTTCAATGAACTTTTTAAAATAACATCTTTGCCCAAATTTAAACGGTCTCTTATAAAAACAACAACAAAAAAAAGGGATAATGTTTAACTAATTTTTACTACTGTCTCATGATGCTTTCATGATGGAGAATTATTAATGTCCAGGTAGTTTAACTCTCACTTCTGAGTTTGTAGTTACAGCACATATTGTGGCCAGCTGTGCGTACCGTCAGATTGTAGCTGTGGCAGCGTGTCACCGCATATCCAAATGTCTCCCACTGTATAGTCAGCTGGCGGGCTCTGACATCCACCACGTTGACGTTTTGTGGACCATGGACTGGATCTGAAGGAGAGATGGACAAAAAAGAAAGTTAATATTTCAGCTGGGCAGGAAATACAGATGGTTGATACACAGAGAGACTGTTGAGCCACCGATTCCACAGAGCCACACATCCATCTGTGAGGAGATAGTCACTGGCAAGGGACGAACTCATGATCATCAGAGATTTTCAAGGCTTAAATTCTGAACTTTAAGATACAGGACAAGCTACCCTCTTACCAATGCTGGTTTGGATTCTTTGTTTATTGTGAAGGCATGTGAGAAATACAAAGTTTTCCTCATGAATTAAAGTGAACATGCAGCAAGTTATTGATATACAAATGGTCATTTGGGGGTTGAAGTGTTCTTTTAACTCTTAAATTAATCTTGACATTTGAACAAAATTATTCCTCGAGTTGTTTCAGGCACAACTGGGATTGCCAATGAACAAAAACAAATTCAATTTTACTCAGTCAGATTTTACAGGCGCAGTTTTGATACTCAGCAGATTCAGGTGGGATTTTTAGTGACAGTCTGTGTCAGTAATTTGGTTCAGGGCCTTGCTCAAGGCCACTCTGATGGGACATGAAGTGTGTAAACAGGTTCACAGGTTCCAACCTGTGATCTATTAATTACTGGAAAATCTGTGACCACCAGGCGATGCTGCGTCCTAACAGGACAGCCCAGATACACAAGCCAGAGATTACCACAGAAGTCCCTGTATTGATCTGCAGACATTTGGAGCGGTTATTACTGCCTTGCCCATATGTCACCCACACATGCACACGCACACGCACACAACCAAAAATGCATGCACACACGGCAGCTCAAACACACCCACGCACACCCACACAAAACCACACACATACAGGAAGATACACACAGCATTGTTGCAGCCATATGTTGGGCTCTCATCCCCAGGTTTGCGTACCACGACTCAGTGCACACTAACAAGCTTGTTCAAACCAATCTTTCTGTCTGCCTAATTAGTTTCTATCAGCTACCGATGGCAACCAAAACAGGTCACTGCATAAGAGAGAAGCTTTATTAGCCGTACTTCTCTGATGAAAATGAAAACTTAACTCCCAATGTGTATGATCTTCAAAACATGGCGAGAGAACAGACACTTACACCGGAGAAGCCAGTTTTAGCACTGAAGATAAAAACTTCTTCATTATGTCTGATGACTGTTGGAAGAACAACTTAGCTAATGAATTAGTGACATTTGAGAAGATGCAGTTGTTTTCAAGAACTGAACACTGATCCTCAGGCAGGATTTCATCCTCAAAGTTCCATAATGTGAAGTTTCAAACTCATTAAACCTGTACAGTCAAACTCTGGGGATACATAGAATAATCACACAACACATTCTCACTCCGACCTCGTCACATATCAGTGTTTGTTCATGGACTTTCCACAGTGACATATGATGTGCAAGGGACCCTGGGTGTGTTGGTTGTTGATGTTCTGGGACGCTGTGTCAAAATATACTTTAGTTTTTATAGGAAATCTTCAGTTTGCATATAGTCTCTTTCAAAATAAAAGCACTACATTGGTAAAACATTGCTTTTAGCCAACACAAGCACGTGGTGGAGTTTAGAAAAAGAACAGGGTTTGGCTTTCTGATCTTACAGGAAGCAAACACTGGCCTCCTGGGTGAAAGTCGGCGGTATTGGACCCACTGACCACCTCTCCCGCCCGCCCTACTCAGACTTCTGCCGCCTTAACTTTCGTTGTTGTCCCGCCACCCCATTTCACCCTGACACCGGGCACCATTAAACAATAACAACGACTGGCCGTGAATCAAGCCAATATGAAAGGACAGCTTTTTTTGTCAATATCTGACGCCAGAAGGCACTGACGCGTAGATTTCGACGACTTCAGAGTGAGACCTGGTAATTATGCATCAATGCATTATTGTAGTGTCTGTTTTCAAAATACACCTCTGTTTTCACAGGAAATGTACAGTTTGCATTCTGTCTCTTTCAAAATAAACGATGTCCGTAAAACACCACGAATTGATGTTTTTTTTCCTTCAACAACAATCACACACGGTTGCATTTAGACAACAAAAGCACATGGTTGGGTTGAGGCAACAAAGACAGGGTTTGGCTTTATGCTCATATGGAAGGCGAACACCAACCTCCTAGGTAAAGTCAGTGGTTGTTGGACCCATCCGCCACCCTTACTGCCTAGCCTATTTGGACTTTTGCCCCCTTAACTTATGTAGTCATCCTGCCACGTTTACCCCTGACGCCACCGGGCAAAGTTACAGAAGAAGGGCAACTGGCTGTATATCATAACAACGTGAAGGTCACTGACCAAGTGGTAGGTATTTGATGCCTTCAGTGTGAGACTGGGTTGAATATCTCAATATGTCATTTTAGTTCTTGTTTAAAGACCAAGTTTGTGGGGAATGCAACAACTCACTGTACTGAGGAGTCCTTAAACAAGGCAGTGTGTTGCTACATGATTGTTGGGTGTGTAACATCTGAAACAGGGAAAACGTTTTGCTTCTCAAATAATAAAATTAATGTTGTAGTTAAACTTTATTTTAAACTCAGTCAAAATGTTTCCATTATGAACATTTAGTATCACTTTTCACTTTTTCAGTCTCTGTGAATCTTCCGAAATCAATTCAGTTGTCCTTAAAAGTTCCTATTAACCTTACATGGGCATTAAATTGTTATCATTTGCTATTTAATTCTGTAAAAGCCAAACTAACTGATGCTTTCAGAATTAATCAACTGGTCAGTCTCAGATATAGCTACTCCTGTGCTGATCAAATTGATACACATGCACTGAACATTAACCGACTATTGCCACAGCCATCGCATACTATTCTTGTCCACAGGTCATCAAATACCAACACAATGTCACATCCCCTCATTGGCTCCTTTTCAGATTCTCTTTGCATCTTCTAAAAACATATTTACAACATATACAACATATTTAGCAACTTACTCAGACCATCAGGGGAAAAGTTGAAACTCATTCCCCTGCATGCTCCTTAGAGTAGTTGCAGTTACCAGCTCTCCTGCCAGCAGTGCAGGGTCTCTCCTCTCCCACTGCACTTTGCACACAGGCAGGCAGGAGGAGAGGAGACACAGCTCGTTGCTACATATCCATTGTAGAATAATATTTCTCTGATTCTTCTTTGACACGCAAATAATTTCAGCTTACATAACTCTGATTCACCTGTTGTCTTTTTAGAAGATAAAACATGTGAGATTAACTGGGGTATAGTTCATGTAAATGACCCTAATATTCAGTAGTTGACATATTAAATTTGCATTTGAGATGTATTTATGTTGCTTTTATGTATTTATTTCCCATCAACATGGAAGTGCTTTTATTTTGAAGAGACAGTAGACACACAGGTAGCAGACGGAAAGTGACAAAAAGGTAAACAGTGCAGTAACATGATAAACAACATGGAAGATATACAAGTAATGAGGAGGAATAGGAGGAGTTTAACTGTAGTTTAGCTCCATTGAGAGAGCAACGAGGTATTAACTGTATTTATTTCCCATGAACATGGAAGTGCTTTTATTTTGAAGAGACAGACACACAGGTAACAGACGGAAAGTGACAAAAAGGTAAACGGTGCAGTAATGTGATAAACAACACGGAAGATAAACAAGTAATGAGGACGAATGGGAGGAGTTTAACTGTAGTTTAGCTCCATTGAGAGGGCAATGAGGTATTAACTGTATTTATTTGTGTTTAAATGTCTCATAAATTTGAGTTGTTTGTGAATTTGCGTACTTCCTGTTGCCGCCAGTGCAAAGTGTAATGTCTTGTTTTGCCCTCTGTTTCTTTATTTTCTGTTTAGCTCTTACATTGGTCGATGAAGTAAATGAAGAACAAAATAAACTGCATTTGACCATCAGTCCAGGCTTATATTATTCTGACTGGTGCGCTACACTGCAACTTATTTTCAGTTGGATTTAATTCTGTTTAAACGCTCTGTCCAGTAACCTGAAGCACTTTTTCTTTTGAACTTGAGTGACCGTAAGAGAGGTTCCTGTAACTGGTGCAGTTTTGGAGAAAATGTAAAAGTTATATAACTGTCAAGTTTTTATTATGAACACACAATTGAATTTTCCATCAAAGAAAAAAATATAAAACTGATGATGTGTGCTGTTAATTATAGTTTTGGAAAGAAAGAAAATTGGAATCAGCCAGAATTGGAATCGACAGGTCAGAGTTTTAAGAAATTGGTAATTGGTCTAGAAACTTGCAATCTCTATTGAAAAGGAAACATAACCCTTGATTTAACCCCAGGAGATTGCGTATGAAGGTAGCTGAGTGCATTAAAAGATTGTTCAAACAAGCTACTTACTTTACACATAAGATGAGCCTAATGAGACAAGATTAGACGACGCCATGGATAAGCCATCTTAGAGGCCATCTGAGCCAGAAGACAATGGTTTTGCACATTTGTGTTCTTGTATGTGTGCGTGAGGGTTATATCCATTTGTGAGTTTGGGTGCAGACTTTAGACTCCCTGGGGTGCTTTATGGTTTAAAGAGTCTGTGTTTCTTCTTAAAAGACCTAAGCCTATAAAGTAATCTACCATTCCTGGATAAGACTGTGGCGGACTGACATTTTGGCAGCCAGGAAAGCTGCAGGGGGGAAGTGATATAACCAACGTATGACCCAATCCTCAGGTCAGCGCAGCAGGCAATATGCTTTCACACAGCCCACATACTGTTGCCAGAAAATAGGACTTTACTACTCTGGACTGAGACTGATGCAAATAGGCTGACAGTCTCTGCTTGCTGCATTTCCATTGTACTATAGAAAGTGGTGGATTTCATCAAACTATGAACGATTCTTAAGATATCCACTTAAGTGATGTAATTACTTGTCTGCCTGTTTGACTGGCGGGCAGCAGGACATTTCACAAACTTTGTAATGGATTTTCTCAAAATGTGATGGGCAGATAAACTGCCACTGAAGCTGAATCTTAATCTGATGTGAGATTTCCATCACTGAAAATGGAAACATGCTGAGAATTG